AAATACTGCAATCTTAACTTCAAAAGCTAAGGTAGTGGGGAGAACCTCTTTAACTACATACAGACCTAAAGCAAAGTATGATGCAGAATGATCACAATATTCTCAGAGTAGAAATGTGTATTTTAAAAATAGCAAGCTACTTGATCGCTCTAGCCAGTAGCAGGGTAAGCAGAACAAAGCAGAATATAAAAGATGGGATTAAGACTATACTAGGGGCTGGGCAGGTGACTCAGTGGTAAGAGTGCTTGCCTCACATGCATGAGGTCCTGGGTTCAATTCCTCAGCACCACATAAACAGGAAGAAAAAAAAAAACTATCCTGGATATGGGAGTGTAGCTCAGAAGCAGAGTGTTTGTCTAGCAAGTGCAAGCCCTGGGTTCAGCACCACAAATGTATACGATGTATACATAACAAAAAGTCTGCACTGCTATTCTGACTTCTCACCAAGTACAAAGGTAAAGAATATTTCCAGCACAGCAGCAATTGAAAATAAATGGAAAAACTGATCCCTAACATGTTTTATAAAAACTAATGTTTTATAAAATTTCAAAGAAACAAATTATATTTTCACCAGAAATGCTTTAAGGAAAATCATAATTTAAATGACTTTTAACTATAGTAAGAATATTCTCTCTAAATCTAGTGAAGAAAAGAAACCAAGTCACTTATTTGAAGCTCCATTTCAACTAAATTGTTCTACTTATCAGTAAATTCTCAACTATTTTGAAAATACAGATTTCCACCTTATTCTCTAAAATCCTGGCTATTCAGGAAGCTGAGATCTGAAGATAGCGTTTCAAAGTCAGACTGGGCAAGAAAGCCCTTGAGACTCTTATCTCCAGCTAACCACTAAAAAGTCAGAAATAGAGCTTTGGCTCAGGAGGTAGAATACTAGCCTTAAGCAAAAAATCTCAAGGGCAGTACCCAGGCCCTGAGTTCAAACGCCAGGACTAGCACAGAGAGAGGAGGAAAAAAAAAAAGGGGGGAGGGGGGGGATGCACAAAGTATTATCCATCTGTATCACAGAAGAAAAAAGCAAAAGCAAAGATTAAATATTTACGAAATAGATTATTCCATTACTAAACTGGGAACAAAGTCTAACTTGCTCCTCTATAAATGTGCTACAGATATTAATAAATATCAGTGAAGTAATTAAATATTAAATTTGGTCTTGTCAAAATAAATTACATGGTCAAAGCACTGAAAACTTTAGAGGTTTGTGGTTTAAATTGTCTAATACACATGAGACCCTTCATTCAATCTCCAAAACAACTAAGAAAGGAAAAATATATAAGAATTCTTATTCTAAAGATTTTTAAAGGCTGGGAAGGTGGCTCAGTGGTAGAGCACTTGCCTTGTATACTTGAGGCCCTGGGTTCGATTCCTCAGCACCACATAAGAAAAAAGCCGGAAGTGGCGCTGTGGCTCAAGTGGTAGAGTGCTAGCCTTGAACTGAAGAGCT